GTTTTGGGGTGATATATCATAAAATTGGACTGTATATGTGTTCTCTCAACTGGATCTCTTTTTCTCGCCCCATTTAACACACTGCTCAGGCCAGAGATATAAATTATTCAGGACTTGGTTGTTAACATATAACCGAATTAACCCCCCCTCCTCTTGTCACAGAATCTTTTAACGTAATTTATAAACATCCCGAGAGCAGGCCATTTATTAGGTGAGGCTAACAAATATTTTATTTTGATGGGAAAGTTTAAAAGCAAGTGAGCCACTAAATAATGAAAACAAATTAAGAGGCTCATTTGGAAATTAGTTTGAGGAATGGCTTCATCTGCCAAGGCACAATGATCTTAATTATTTGTCTTCAATAAATGTTGCCTAAGCTGCTTATTAATATTATACTTGCATTGGTGAACTTATTCTGGGCAATGGGTGTATATTTATGAAGTGGGAATATATCTTTCGGGATCTCTCCATCTCTGAAGAGACAACCTCTGGAGATACATAGCTACTGTCCTCGGCAGCCATTTTAACAGATATAACAGAGTTGGAAGGGATCTTGGAGGCCTTCTAGTCCAACCCCCAAAGCCTATGCCCTTTCAAACAAATGATTGTCCAATCTCTTCTTAAAAGCCTCCAGTGATGAGCAGCCACCGCTTCTGAAGGCAAGTTGTTCCCCTGATTAATTGTTCTGTCAGGAAATTTCTTCTTAGGTTGGTTCTCTCCTTGATTTTCCTCAAAACTCCTTCGTGAGGGCATCCTCTTTCCTCACGGGAACCCAACACATCCAGGATTAAGACACCAAATCTGTGGGGATTTCATACACTGTAAAATATCTGGTCCGATAGGCGGCCTTGAGAATAAATTTCAAGAAAACAGAAGTACGTGAGGACAGTCGCGCAGGGGACTTCAGCCGACGGATTCTTCTTCAGGCGTGGTTTCATATTTCCACATTTTTTTCCCCCCAGCTAAAACCCAATCAAATAAATCACCACATGAAAAGCAGGTTTTTACAGCGTCCCTCTTTACATATTACATACAGCGTCCTCCTTTACATATTGGCAAATTCTCTTGTTAGCTTTGAAAACGAGAGGTAGACTATGAACAGCTTCCAACGGCATCGTTCAGATCCTAACGCCAGGAGACTCCAACTCCGAATCTCTCATAAAACTGCTTTAATAACGATAATACATCTCTAATAAAAAAAAAAATGAGAGAGAGAGAGAGAGAGAGAGAGAGAGAGAGAGAGAGAGAGAGAGAGAGGGAGAGAGATTTTGTATTCCTTTGGTTATTTCTGGTGACAAACAGCACGGAGGCAAGTAAGAAGAAAAAGTTTGATGCTCAGAGGTTTAAAAGGGAATTTAAATGCCACTCCTGGCTACATTCGCCTTGTTTAATGTTCCTTGTTAACTTTCAGGCTACATTTTGCTTTGAATGTTCAGAATGGCGTTATTGATTGGTTTGTCACATAATCCAGTATGAAAAGCGCAGAGTGAAAAACCCTCTTGATGCCTCCTGATGGCTTTTCAGAAGGAGATCCTGTCAAAGCATTTGAAAGAATGAATTACCTTTAATTCGACTCATAAAGACACTGCCGATTTTTATTGTTGTTGTGGCTGTTTTGGTGGCTTTGTTTTACTTTCAGGGCTCCCAAATGATCCGTTCTGACGTGGTGAAGGAGCTCCACAATGAAATGATGACATCTCCTTCAAGCGCGGCCTTCAAGATCTTGAAGTGTGTTTCCATTTTCCAACAGGCTTCCCACAAGTATACTCAATCTTCAAGGTTGAGAATCTAGTGCCAATTATTGCTGAAAGCTGATAATGGCCAACGGTTTTCTTTTATTTGAATGTTTGAAAGATTGATGAAAGCATCCTCTTAATAAGGGCTTCTTGTAGGGTTGATAATGGCGAATCCTGATCAAGATGGTTGAAATAGATCTGATATGGGGGAAATGCTCCCGGTTCGGACCGGGACCTAAAATCTTCTCCTTCTCCTTCTTTTTGTTTCTCTTTCTTTCTCTTTCTCTCTCCTCCTTCTCCTCTTTCTCTTTCTTTCTCTTTCTCTAACCTCCTTCTCCTTCTCTTTCTTTCTCTTTCTCTCTCCTCCTCCTTCTCCTCCTTTTCCTCCTCTTTCTTTCTCTTTCTCTCTCCTCCTTCTCCTTCTCTTTCTCTTTCTCTTTCCTCCTTCTCCTTCTCCTTCTCCTCCTCCTCCCCAAATTTTCTAAACTAAGGAAGAATGGAGGATGCCTAGCAAACAAATGGGATTTTATGAGTACAGCACTGAGCAGTAACTTTCCATCACACCATCCAGATGTTAGGCAGCTACATAGGCCAGTCACATCCATCAAAGTCATATCAACACAGCTCCCAATAAGCTGGGCAGCTGAATTGAACAAGGCATGGTTTCTAAACTCGATGCATTCAATTCCTCAGCAGAGGTTTTCTGAAAATGCCCAAACAATTCATCACCAGAATAAAGAGAAGTAAAAAAAAAAAAAAAGATCTTTCTTGGATGCTGGAAATAAGAACAGGTCTATATTTTAGCTTTGGCTACCTAAATCTTGTGGGGAAGGGTGGCTCAGTGGATAAGATGCTGAGCTTGTCGATCGAAAGGTCGGCAGTTCAGCGGTTCGAATCCCTAGTGCCGCGTAATGGGGTGAGCTCCCGTGACTTGTCCCAGTTTCTGCCAACCTAGCAGTTCGAAAGCAGGTAAAAAATGCAAGTAGAAAAATAGGGACCATCTTTGGTGGGACGGTAACAGCGTTCCGTGCGCCTTTGGTGTTGAGTCATGCCGGCCACATGACCATGGAGACGTCTTAGGACAGTGCTGGCTCTTCGGCTTAGAAACGGAGATGAGCACCGCCCCCTAGAGTCAGGAACAACTAGCACATATGTGCGAGGGGAACCTTTACCTTTACCTAAATCTTGTGCTATATGTTAAGATTATATTCTTATTTAAATTGGTGGGTGGGTGTGGGATGCCAACTGCTGTGAAATTTACTACCTGGAGGCACCAAGGTGCCAAGCCCATTAAATAAAATAACTATCCATAACTCTCTGCGAAGCAACGCCATGTGTTTCTTTGTGACACGGCATCACGGTTCAACAATGAAAGTCAGGAAGACACCTTGAATCCCCGGCCGACCTCCCCTTCAAGACGGTTATCCTTCCCCACCCCACTGCAAATCAGTATTCTTTTTGTAAAACACGGCAAAATAGAAATGACAGGGAGTGCTTTATTTCCTTCTTGTTGACTGCTAGTCTGCCTATCCAAAAACATTAACACAAATGGATCGAGTCTGTCTGCTCAAGCCCACAATCCCAGAACATCCCCATCGCCAGAAGCAAAAGATGATTGACATTCTAAGTCTATGCTTTGGGTTCCCTTGACATGCCGGGGAATTCTCCAATACAAGGCAGTTTTAAGACAGGTAACAACGAGAAGGAAGGAATCAGACTTCTGCCCTCAGGCAGACCCAGTAGGCCGAAAAGGGAGAAAAATAATAAAAGTCTGGTAAGCTACAGAAATTGTGAAGAGATGGAATCACAGTCCTGTCACAGGATTCTTAAGTTGCAGCAAGATTCGGTCTTTCTTTCACCAAACACCTGAATCTTTTTGGTCCAGGATTGTCCTGCCATCCATCGGTGCTATCCAACTGCTGGGAGTTCATAGGGGTTTGGGAGAACCTCTAGCTAAGATTCTGTGCAGTTTGGAGAACCCCCAAATTCCACTCCTGGATGGCCCCGCCCCTCCCAGGAGTCCCCACGCGGCCCGTTTGGATGCAGGTAAGTGCAGGATGCGCGTGGAGGCTTGGGGAGGGCAAAAAATGGGCCTACCAGAAGTTCGGGAAGGCCAAAACGGGCTGGTTTCCAGCCTCCAGATGGCCTTCGGAGTCTGGGGAGGCCATTTTTCACCCTCCCGGAGGCTCAAGAAAAGCCTCCGGAGCCCGGGGAGGGCAAAAATGCTCCCCTGCCATGGTGCAGGAGACTGACTAGGTCACACCCACCATGGCCACGCCCACCCAGCAACCGGGCAAAGAACCCCTTGCTAAAATTTTTGAAGCCCACCTCTGGTGCTGTCTACAAGGACTTTTGTGCTATAGCTCATATCAACTATTCAGGGACTGCCCAACAGGTTGGTCTCAAAAGCCATAAAGTTCTTCATTTTCCCAGCAAGATTCAGCCTAACGAACCAAACCAACTGCTTTAAACTTGATTGTAAAAACAAAAAATAAAAATGTTTTTTGTAATAAGAGTTGTCCAAAATCTGGAATCTTATCTGATTCAGTTGTTTCAGCTACTCACTTTCATAGTTTTATTTCCAACTTAACTTCTGTAGACCTCATCCTATATTTTAAGTCCTGGGGGAGGGACGCTGGTAAGTGTACTGATGTGCCAATCATTAATGTGTCACATTTTAGGGTTTTTTTTCCTTTTCTTCATTCGAATTTGTAATTTTTCTTTGATAAATAGATAAATAAAATTTAAAAAATTAGTCCCTCCCTTCCCTTTTTTTAAAAAATTTGATTTATATGCCGCTCTTCTCCGGAGACTCAGGGCGGCTTACAATGAGTTAAGCAATAGCCTTCATACTTTTGTATATTTTATACAAAGTCAGCTTATTGCCCCCACGAAAGGATGGAAGGCTGAGTCGACCTTGATCCTGATGAGAATTGAACTCGCAGTAATTGCAGGCAGCTGGATGTTAAATGCTGCCTTAGGAGGCATTAGCCTCCTACGCCACTCAGGCTCATGAGTACATTTAAAAATGTACTCATGTCTTCTGGAGATATGACCAGCATTCAGCCAGTTGATGGGGATGGCTGGCAACTTTCATCATGTGTCATCATGCAAGAAGACACTCATCATTGCCTTGATTTGCTTTCAACCAACAGAAAGAGTGACCCAACAGTAGCTCGCCACAACCCAGATCAAGCAATGGTAGACACACATCAACTTCATCCTTTAAATGTACCAAGGTGTCAGTAAAGAGAAAATACTTACGATTTCTGTGGCACAGATTTGGTTGCAACTTTATTGGTAGGCTCGTTCCATTCTGAAAATAAATGAAATGAAAGTCACATCCGTTGCCTTAGGTTTTGCAGCAACGGCATATCATCCCGCAATCTCTCTCAAAACAAGCCCTCATGTGACAAAGCATCAGGGGTACTCCTTGAATGACGGCCACAATTGATCCAAAGTTTCTACCGCTAAACGAGACAAGCGTTCAGTGAGTTTTGCTCCGTTTTACGACCTTCCTCACCACCATCCTTAAATGAATCATTGGAGGTGTTAAGTTAGTGAATCTGGCTTCCCTGCTGACACTGCTTGTCAGAAGGTCGTATTTTGATCATGTGACCACGGGGATGATGCAACGGTCATAAGATTGAAAAACGATCATAAATCGCCTTTTTTTCCCAGTGCTGTTTTAACTTCGAACGGTCATTAAAGGAATGCTTAAAAAGTAGAGGAGCATGCAGGAGCCAACTTTTTCTGGAAAAGGAGAGGAAGAAAAGGGAGGAGAAAGAGGAGTAGGGGAGAGGGTTAGAAAGGGAGGAAGAAGAGAGGAGTGGGGGGAAGGGAAGGGGAAGTAGGAAAGAGAAGGAGAGGAAGAACGAAGAAAGTAGGAAGAGATGGAGGAAGGGGAGGAGAAGAGGAAAAGTTGTGGTAAAAATAAAGGAGGGTAAATGGTAAAGAGAGCAGCGCCGAACAACAAAAAATGAAAGTTAAAATGAATGGAAAATGATGGATAAAAGATTGTACATTTAAATATGTTTATGAAAAATAAAAATAAAAACTCTTTGAGGAAAAAAAAAGCTAACTTTTTCTGTCGGATGGAGCTGAAACGTCCATCCTTTGTCTTTATGGGGTGACAGATCAAGAGATGAGTAGATGGTTTAGAGAAGTTGTCCTCTCTCTAATCCCACCAACTGAGGATAGTGGTGGAGGTTGGGGTCCAAGCATTCTTAGAGGGCATCAAGTGGCAGTACGTTGGTTTACCTCCAGGACAGGAGACTTACTTTGTGCAGGGTATCCTGAGGTCAGATGCTGGCAATCCTACAAATGGAAACAAAGAAATGTCAACGTTGTTCAGGAAGTTATCCGCGGAACATGTCAGATTAACTGCAGAATGGACACATTAGCAAAGAAGTTAACCCACTAAAATGTTAACAATCCAATCTAATGCCATCTGACTTCTGGATGAATATTCAAGCATTTGTCCATATCCTCCTATTCCCAAGATCCCTGTCCTTGATATTTAATGAGAACTTTGCCAATCTCGCTCACTAATCTGGCACCTGCTCTTCAGGATGTCCCCAAGTAGGGAGGATCAAAGCTGAAAGCTCCAGCATCCATCTCAAGAAATCCATCAAAGACGTCAAGATATTAGGATTCAGGTCTGCTATGTCTTCTGAAAGATTAGTCCCCACGTTTGCCATAAGAGGGACGTGTATTCATGACTGCTTACCAGCCTGATGCTTAAACCACTGTTGGGCCTGAATGGAATCTGTGGTTCTGATGGAAGGAGGGCAGGAAGAGAGGAACAAGGGAGGGAGGGAGGAAGGGAAGAAGGAAGGGGAAGTCGAAGGAAGAAAAGAAGGAGAAAAGAAAGGATAAGAGGGAAAGACGGAAGGAAGGAATTCAGTGGAATTCACAGATGGAATAATCTGGTGCAGGGGTCAGCAACCTTAAACACTCAAAGAGCCACAAATGTCCTAACCGGAAGACCCCGTTAAGTTCTGGAGCCGACCGGAAGTCCGGTTCCCCCATCATAGTCTCCTCCTAGCACAGCATCTTTTTTCCTCTACTTGTTCTAACCGAAAGCCCTATCCATTGTAGAGCCAACCAGCAACAGGGAGCTACAGCAGATGGATGAAAGAGCCACATGCGGCTCCAGAGCTCCAGGTTGCTGACCCTTGATCTGGTAGAATAGGCAGATGTCCTCCAGGAGAGACATTCCTACAAATAACCTGTCCCCCATTCCATGCAGGGCTTCCAAGGTGAGAACCAGCTTGTTCAACTGCACCTGGATGGAAACTGGAAACCAGTGCAGCTTGTACAGCAACGGGGTAAACCCAGATACATGGTGTAATAAAGGGGCACCCAAAACTGCAGAAAGGGCTGCATTCTGGACCATGTTGTAATGGTCTTCAGAGGTGCATGAGCTGCATCTCTCAACATCCTTCAATCAAGTATCCTTTAGATAGGTTGGGGGACTACAAAACATCACCAATGGCCTTGCTTTGCTCCAAGAGAATTCTGGGAGCCGTAGTCCCAAAATCACAATGTACTACATTGTGATTTCATACCTCTGAACAAATACGTATTTGCAAGCCTGCTCTTCAACCTACCTGGGCCTTGCTTGGGATAGTGAATTTGTTCTGTTCCGCTTTGCCGGGAGTGTGGATAGCAGTGAGGGGCGGAGGCCATGAATGGGTCATCTCCTAGCAAACAAAACATAGGAGTATATTTTCAAGTCGAGGACAAGCCATGTTCTTTCCCTTTGCATTTCCTTTTAAGCATCCCCAAAGTCAGGCTAAGTCATACAATTGTTTGGGTTTGGTGCCATATCTTGTGTGAACACAGCTACTGTGATTTGTAAATTAGGCTACAGCTTAACGGAGTTGGAAGGGACCTTGTAGGTCATCTAGTCCAACCCCCCACCCAAGCAGAAGGTCCTACACCACAAATGGCAGTCCAGTCTATTCTTGAAAGCCTCCAGTGATGAAGCTCCCACAACTTCCAAAGTTATTCTGTTCCATCAGTGGATTGTTCTCACTGTCAGAAAATTTCTCCTTATTGCCAGGTTGAATCTCTCCTTGATCAGTTTCCATCCATTATTTCTTGTCTGGCCTTTGAGTGCTTTGGAAAATAGCTTGACCCCTTCCTCTCTGTGGCAGCCCCCCAAATATTGGAAGACTGCTATCATGTCTCCCCTGGTCCTTCTCTTCACTAGACTATCCATACCCAGTTCCTGCAACCGTTCATCGTATGTTTTAGCCTCCAGTCCCCTAATCCTCTTTGTTGCTCTTCTCTGCACTCTTTCTAGAGTCTCAACATCTTTTTTATAGTGTGGTGACCAAAACTGGATGTAGTATTCTAGGTGTAGTCTTACTAAGGCTTCGGGTATGAAAGTGAAAAACGCACCCAATCAATGGTGACTTTTTCAACAGAATGGAGTTTAAAACAGAGCAGAATATGATGTATGAAATCAGTCTCTCCAGAAATGGATTGCATTTTTCAGCTTGCCTGCTTTTGTGTGTGTGTGTTTTTTTTATTTTAAAAAAAGAAAGAAAGACGGGAACGTTTGATTTTTAGTTTCTTGGTATATTTCTTTGTTTATTTGCAGGGTTTACAGGCTGCTCCCATCCACCAGCTCTGAGCGACATGTAACTCTCCCCAAGATGTAATTGGGAGTAAACCAATGCAATCAATTTTTAAGAAGGTTACAACAGTTATGTCAATAACTCAGTCAAAGTAAAGTAACTATTTGCTTTAAAGGCGTCTATCTGGAGAGACAAGAAAGGGCTTCATCTCAAAGAAGATATTGGCTGTCCAATACCTTCTCACACCATCATGGATCGTGAGTATAGATTACTTCAGTCCTGTCTTTCAGTGATCGTTCGGATGGAATATACTTTTGAACCAATCATTACATAACCTATGGATGCTGCATGCCAGGGTGATAGTGAATATCCTTTCTAAGGTAGGTAAATTGAGGACCCAGTTGTGGGGGCAATAAGCTGACTTTGTATAAATATACAAAAGGATGAACCATGCTGGCTGGGGAATTCTGGGAGTTGAAGTCTACAAGCCTTAAAGTTGCCAAGTTTCGAGACCTTGATATAAACCAAGTAATTTGTTGGAAATGTAATGCCGCTATGGGAACTTACTTTCATATTTGGTGGACCTGTCCCTGAGTAAGAGACTATTGGGCCAGAATTCATAAATGGATTTTAGAAATCATAGGATGTAGGATAAAATTGAACCCGGAAACGTTTTTACTGGGCATGAAACCAGAGAACTTAAATAAATCTAATTGGTATCTCGCTCTCCACATCATCATTGCAGCCAGGATCTCGTTTGCGCAAGAATGGAAATCCAAAAATATCCCATCGGAGGCTATATTAACCGCAAAGACCATGGATTGTGCAGAGGCAGACAAGCTTACCGGACTCTTGCGAGATAGACAAGAATCGGAGCTATATATGAGTTGGGACCGGTGGTATGCTTGGCTGCAAAAAAGAAACCTGAAGAAGAATGTAAAATAATAATCTTAGTGTGACTGGGGGTAAATATTTATAGGAATATAGCATGGCAGTTGAGAATTTTTTCTTCTGGATAATCTTTTATCTTTTTGATGATTTGGTTTAATGGAGGTTTGTACTATTTCTAGGCGAAAATTGATGCCTTAAAACTCTATATGTATTATATCACTCTCTGCAATTCTATTCATATTGCTATATTTTTTTCTCTGTAATTTTTAATAATTTTCAATATTTTTTTTTAAAAAAAAAGATATAAACCAAGTAACCAAGGCTTTATTTCAGAATACAGGCGGGTGTTTCCAAAATTCTGTCAACTAATGGGGGGAAAAAGTTCATATTTTTTGTATGAAGTGGTGCAGAAGAGAAAGACAGAGCTTTCAGAAATGATGATAGAGGACTCGTGACCTCATTCCTAAAAAAAATTAAAACTAAAGATTGAAACATTGTTTTAACCATCTCCATGTTTTCCCCCCTCTCTTAAATTGTATTAATGAGGAATAGACATTAAACCAATTCCGAATCCTTCATTTTTCTTCTTCTTCTTCACGGATTCTGTTGTCATTTTAAAAGTAGCTGTAGATGCCCTCAGGTAATGAACAGAGAAGCATAGACACAGAAGATGCTAATGAGTGGCCAGGAAAAAAAAAAAAGAAGAAGTTGTGGTATAATTTGTCTCTAAGGCAGAAGAATTAATGGCTCTCAAAAGAATTGGAGAGAATTAGCAGGCAGAACAATTAATTCCACGATACTCTTGAAGGAGTGGAGAGGCAGGATGAACTTCATCCCAGAAATAAAGCGGACAAAAAAAAAATGTTTGTTTGAAAGTACAAACACATTCATCTTGAGTTTCTGCAAGAAAAGTCTCTCTTCCATGATTTGGCCCTCGGAGCAATTTCGTGAGGTAGATTGGAGGAGAGATGGCAAGTGGTCCAAAGTTATCCAGTGGGTTAATTTGGAAAAACGAGGTCCATTCTGAGAAACCTTTACCACTGAGATACACTTCTTCCCTTAAAAGTGATTACAAGGATCGATCCGGTAAGATCCACTATCTCAGGAGATCAAAATGGATCGTCCATGCCCAGAAACTCTGAAAGCTGAAAGAAGCACTGGGGGTAATCTTACCCTGTGGAGATTCTCAGACATCTAGGTCATAGTTGTCTCAAAAGTGCTATTTTGTTTTCTTGACAACTGGGCAACTCGGAGAGCTGTTGAGACCGCTTGGGGGGTTTAATCTGTGCCCTCAGGGTCACCTGAATCAGAGTTCAAATGAATGTGGGGTTTTCTTGGAACTGCTGGAAGGGCTGTGTTAGAAACTGGAGATAGGTGGTATCTTATTCTATCTCCAGTCTACAACACAGTCCTTGCAGTTCCAAGAAGATTCCATAACCAATTGCACCCTGCAATAAATCCCCAAGTGGCCTCAACAGCTCTCAGAGAGAGCGCTAATGACCAGATGACTACAAAGAAATACAATCCTTTTATCACTCCACCGTCTTGTCAGAACCTCTCCTCCCATCCAGTGGTAGGATTCAGCCGGTTCGGGCCAGTTCAGGTGAACCAGTAGTTAAATTGCTGGCTGGCCCTGCCCCTCCCCTTCCAGAAGTCCCCAGGTGCCCTATTTTGGCTCCCAGATAAATGCAGGAAGGCCTACTAGGCCCAAAACGAGGGGAGTGCGGTGTGCCCCTCCTGTGGCCCGTTTTTGCTCCCAGTGGGGGTGCAGGAGGCCAACTGCTGCCTGTCACACCCCCTGGCCACGCCCATCATGGCCACACCCACCTACCCAGCCAATCATTAGGGCAGAAAACAGGTTGTTAAATTATTTGAATCCCACCACTGCTTCCATCCCCTCACTACCCAGTCTCAACTGTCAGCGGCTATCCTTCCGTCCTCCCTCCCCACTCCATCAGAACCAATGAAGCTTCTTGGATGAGAAGCGAAACATTTTCTTTTTTCTTCCTCAAGGGGAAAAAAAATACAATCCAGAGTATATTGCATTCTGGAAGAGCTCTGAAAGAAAATATCTTTGGCTTCCCTAAAGGACTGAAGGAAAACGACCTAAAAGTGCCTGTTTTTGGAATTATTCCTGAAAGCGTTTAGTTCTACTTTATGCACTAAGCTTCCAAACCCACAAACTGCCTCTTTCCAAAACTGGCAGCCAAACTTCTAAAAAAAATAAAAATTAAACTCATCTCCCCTCAGCCATAGCAGATTAGCAGTCCATTTAGCATACGGGAGGATTCAAAACGGAATTCTCCATTTTCTCGTTGCATTCTAACTGATTTCACCTAATCCGTGACTCCTTTTCATTAAAATGGGACACTAAATTATAACAAGATCATTAAATGGATGCACAGGACTGTGTTATGGCTGAGGAAGCCATTAGATCAGGCTAAGTTTCCTCAAATTACTTGGCGCAAAGAAGAATACGGAAACATATTCTCCATTCTGTGAGAGGCAGTTGCCTTATCAATTCTGTTAGGTTTGAAAAGAAAAGAAAAAAAAAATAGAGCCACCTCCATCTTCTCTGCGAAATGGAACTATTTTTATAATTTGCCTCCGGTGTGTATCCACAGTAAGCAGAAAGATGCATCTCCTAATAAATGGATTGATAAATCACCAGGCATTCCGCAAACTGGACAGCAGCCACGTCGATCTTCAAAGGGTCTTCAATGAATGATAGAAAACCATCTTGGCTGAAAAGTGGCCTTAGGTTTGCAGGCTTCTATAGTGAAATGCGAGAAGGGTGGAACAGATTTCTTTAAAAAAATGATTTTTCAAAATCAATCATTCAAGGATGATTGATATAGTTCCATGTCTCGCCCTATGATAACAGAATAGAAATAGAAAATAGAATAGAAAATAGAAAGAAAATAGAAAATAGAAAATAGAATAAAATAGAGTAGAGTAGAGTAGAGTAGAGTAGAGTAGAGTAGAGTAGAGTAGAGTAGAGTAGAGTGGAGTGGAGTAGAATTAGAAAGTAAAGAATGGAATGGAATGGAATAGGATAGGATAGGATAGGATAGGATAGGATAGGATAGGATAGGATAGGATAGGATAGGAAAAAATATAGAATATAGAATATAGGATAGGATAGGATAGGATAGGATAGGATAGGATAGGATAGAAAGAATATAGAATATAGAATATAGAATATAGAATATAGGATAGGATAGGAT